TGTTCTAAGAATTAAAAAAAACAATAAAATTTGTTTTTTTTAAAAAAGCTTGCTATATGTGAGAAGGAAGTTCCATAGAGCAGAAAATCTATGGGAAAGAGTGGGGCAAAAACAGTCATTTACTGACAGTTCTTCAAACCTAAAACCTTATTTCAGTATACTTTTCACTTTCTTTATCTTATTCATTTGAGCTGCCCAAAGTTGCTTCAATAGAGAGGTGGGTGACTAAATAATGAATGAATGAATGAATGAATGCATTAATTAATTTCTGTAAAGTCAGTCTGTCTCAATCACCTGCAATATAAAGTACTGCAAAAAAATTTCCAGCATGATGAACAATTAGTTTGCAAATCTTATTATTGGGTAAAAGTAGCACAAATTATGTCAAGTCCCCAAACCCTCATTATTTTCCCTACATATATATTCTACTTTTGGGGCCTGCCATTCTGCTGGGGGGAGGGGGAGTTTACTCTTGCTTGGGATAACTTTTGCTTTCTACTCTTTTCTCCTGCCTCTATCCCCTTGAGGAAGAAATGTGTCTCCCTTATCAGGGAGACGGTTACAGAAAAACGAGATAGTTACAGAGAAACGAAACTGGAGAAGACCTTGAGATGTGCACCAACTGTGCCAGTTATCCGCTCATCAGACCACCTGTGGACTGGCTGGATTTCAAATGGACATTATGACTTTGGTGGGAGGAGGAATATTGCTTGCTGAACTATACCGTTTGTGTGGGATTTTTCCCAGATCTCACTTCAACTTCCCTACTGTCACTGACCCCTAATAAAAGTATCCTTTTGAGACAATGCCCGTTTCAAGAGTTCTGCTTTCTTGGGTGGTTAGTTGAAGTGGGTCCTTACATAAGGTGAGATCTGCATAGTACTCAACCCGGAGAAGCTGCTGCCCTACCGGGGGAGTCGCAAACTATTTCTAAATGGAGGAGTTGCAGGCAGATCTCCTGGAAAGATCTCCTCTGCCTAAAAGGCGATGAAAGCCTCTCCAGGGACCTGGAAGAGGCCGGACCTTCTGGTGAAGAAGATCGAGCCAGATGGTCACTCAGGGTCGGTAAGAAGGAAGGATTGGAGGAGAAAGCCCCCAAAGTCACTCTTACTTGAGGCGAAGGGAAGAAAAATGCAAAGAAGAAAAATCCAGAGCTGGCCCCTCCCAATAAAGACGGAGAAAAGGAGGAACTGAAATCAAGGCCTATGGAAGCAGTGATGGAGTATGTGAAAAAAACCCTTGATGAATTTAAGATGCATCTGAAGGAAAGCTGTGAGTTGGAAGAAGAGTCGGAGGGGGAATCAGAGGAGGAAGAATCGGAGGTCGGAGAGACGGCAGTGGCTGGAGCCCAGGAGGCGGTACAGCGGCAGGGCTGTCCATCTCAAGGAGCCAGAGGCAGACTGGTTCAGCCAGCCAAAGTGAAACCAATTCCAATCCGAGTGAAGTTTGATGGAGATCCGAAGCGATTGGGATATTTCCTGGCACAAATATTCACCTAAACATGCAAATCTATGGGAGAACACTGCCTACCAATGTCAAGAAAGTTTGTGTGGTCACCCTGGCTCTGGAAGGTGGAGCAGTTGACTGGCGGGAGATGTGGATTGCACAGTGATTTTGCCTCTTCCCTCAGTGAGTTAGACTTGCAAAGCCTCCCAATGGAATACCGAGACTTGGCTGAAGCCTTCAGCGAGCAGAGGGCTGAGGAACTCCCCCCTCACCGGCCCACAGACTGTGCAATTGAAATCATCCCAGGGGCGAAATTGCCAAAACCAAAAATGTACTTGATGGCTCCTAGGGAGTTGAACAAACTGGAAATAATTATCAAAAGGAATGTAGAGCGAAGAGCCATTTCTCTTTGTCTCTGCATTGATTATAGGACCCTGAATGTGTGCATGGAAAACATGTATCCAGTACCTTTAATGAAAGACATGTTAGCGCACCTATTGAAAGGATTTTTTTCCCTCAAAACTGGACTTGAGAGAGGCTTATTATCACATAAGAATAAGAAAGGAGATGAGTGGAAAACTGCTTTCAATTGCTCATTGGATTGCTTCCAATTTAAAGTTCTCCCCTTTGGGTTACAGGGACACCCTGCAGTATTCATGCAATTGATCAACGAAGTCCTATGTGATCACTTGTATAAAGGGGTCATAGTTTACCTGAACGATATCCTTATTTACACCGAAACAAAAGATGAGCACATTAAGCTAGTCAGAACGGTACTGAAAAAACTACGCTCTGCCAAACTGTATGCCAAGCTATCAAAATATGAATTTCACAAAGGTCATATTGATTACCTGGGTTATCGCATATCAAATGAAGGGATAGAGATGGACCCAGAGAAAGTGAGGGCAGTCTTAGATTAGGCACCCCTGAAAACCAGGAAACAACTCCAAAGTTTCCTAGGCTAAGAGGGGGATAAGCCAAAACCCAGTCAACCACTGTAATGGACAGGAGAACGCCAAGTGCTTTTGAGAAACTTTAAAGACTGTTTTCTATGGAGCTGTTTTTAAAACATCCAGACCTGGACCAACCATTTATAATTCAGGCTGATGCCAGTGATGTAGCTGTGGGAGCTGTTTTGCTGCAGAGAAATAAAGAAAGACAATTACAGCCCTGTGCTTACACCTCGAGGAAATTGTCTAAGACTGAGCAGAGGTGGGCAGCTTGGAAAGAAAGAGATCTATGGTGTACGGTGGGCTTTACTAACTTGGAGACATTTCCTAGAAGGAAACAAAATACAATTCGAAGTATGGACTGACCATAAGAACCTTGAAGCCATGAAAACACCCAGAAAATTCTCCCCTAAGCAGGCAAGGTGGTCGCAGCATTTTCATCATTTTAATTTTATAATTCACTACTTCCCTGGGGGAAAGAATTTTCTAGCTGATGCATTATCCAGGCTATCAGTAAGAAAGCATAAGTAGCCAAATCATTTCTGCATCCTCATCAACTAGCGGCCCCTGTAATCACCAGGGCCCAATCAAAACCAGTGGGTGCTATTGGAAAGTCTTTATTACTGGAATTTAAAACTGCCTTAGAAACAGATGAATGGTTTCGTAACCATAATAATCTGTGTGCGTTAAAAGATGGTTTCCCATGGATTGGGGATAAACTCTATGTTCCAGCAGCATTGAGATTTAAAGCGATAAAAGAAGGACATGATTCAAAAACTGCTGGACACTTTGGTTTTGTAAAGACATTACATCTTATTATGAGACAATTTTTGTGGCCTGCATTAAAAAAGGACATAGAAAGCTATGTGGCCAGCTGCCCCACATGTGCTGCAGCCAAAAGGTGGCAAGAGAAATCTCCAGGACTGCTGCAGTCAGTAACCAGTCCGTCAGCACCCTGGAGAGAGATCTCTATGGATTTCATCGTAGAATTACCTGAAAGTGCTGGAAACAGTATGATCTGGGTTGTAACGGATGTGTTCTCCAGACAAGTTCATTTCATTCTATGCCCCAAGGTTCCAACTGCAAAAACTTTAGCTAAACTCTTTATATCGATTTCATGGGGCTCCACAATGTATAATTTCAAACCAAGGGGTTCAACTCACTTCTAAGTTCTGGAAGGCTTTTCTGGACTTGATGGGTTCTAGTCAAAGGTTATCATCTTCCCACCATCCTCAAATGAATGGGAGGACAGAGAGACTTAACTCAGTTTTAGAACAATACCTGAGATGTTTTATTAATTATCAACAAGACAATTGGGCCAACCTGCTACCGTTTGCTAAGGTTGCTTACAATAATGCTGTACACTCAAGTACTGGGTTTACTCCATTTCAAGTAGCAAATGGCCAAACCTTTGTGGACATACCTGAGCTCCCCACCAAAGAACCCGAAATCCCCTCCTTGGAGGAGTGGATCAAACAAGTGCAAAACACCTTGCCAGTGGTCAGGAAAGCCCTGGATGAGACCATGGAGGCTTATAAAGCCCAAGCTGATAAACAAAGTGTAGAAAAAAGCCATATCAAGTGGGAGACTGAGTGTTCCTTTCTACAAAGTATTTACAGTCCCTGCAACCTTCAAAGAAATTAGGTCCTAAGTTTATAGGACCTTTCCCAGTTAAATGCATCATCAATCCTGTGACTGTTGAGCTAGACTTGCCAAAGAATCTACAGAAAATCCACCCTGCTTTCCATTGCAGTTTGCTTAAACAAGAGGTTACCTCAAATCTCAGACCTCCTGCATCCCCAGTGCCACCTCCTATCATGGTTGAGGGAGAACAACACTTTGAAATAAAAGACATTTTAGACTCTCGTACAAACCATGGGGTGACACAGTACCTGGTAGTTTGGAAAAACCTCCCTTCTGCCCAGAATGAGTGGGTGAATAAGAGACACGTTAGAGCCCCTAAGCTTTTACAACAGTTCCATTCTAAATATCCCGATAAACCTTATTTACTTATTGTGTTGTTGTTCCCTTTCCTTTGTTTTCTAGGTGAATTTCCCATTCTTCTAGGGGGGCCGTATGTCAGGTTCCCAAACCCTCATCGTTTTCCATGCATATATATTATATTTTTGGGACCTGCCATTCTGCTGGGGGGAGGGGGAGCTTACTCTCATTTGGGATAACTTTCATTTTCTACCCTCTCCTCCTGCTTCTATCCCCTTGAGGAAGGAATGTGTCTCCCTTATCAGGGAGATGGTTACAGAGAAACAAAACTGGAGAAGACCTTGAGATCCACGCCAACTGTGCCAATTACCCACTCATCAGACCACCTGTGGATTGGCTGGATTTCAAATGGACATTATAACCTGTAGGAGGAGGAATATTGCTAGCTTAACTATACTGTTTACACGGGATTTCCCCCAGATCTCGGCTTGACTTGTCTAATGTCACTGACCCCTAATAAAAGTATCCTTTTGAGACAATACCTGTTTCAAGAGTTCTACTTTCTTGGGTGGTTAGCTGAGGTGGGTCCTTACAAACTCTTTGCCAAACAATAATTAGATATACTTTACTAGAGGGCTTTTTAATTTACTATAATGTTCTCACCATTCTCAGGATGTTCCATCTCACCAATGCTGCCATCAGGTGTGGTGCGCTCATAGTGGTCCTCAGGTAGAGCCAGAGGCCCTATTCGAGGCCCTGATGAAGATTTGCTGCTTGGTGTTTCTGACTCTTCAAGGCCACTGTCATAGTAACTGTGCTGGGAGGGATCCTGCAGATCTTGAGCCTGATTGGCTGCAGAGAATGTCACTCGACGATGAGGTAACTGCAAAAAACAAAGCAAAATCCTTAATTAATATACTTTTCCATTAAAGAAAATCTATCTAGATCACAGAGAAGATTATAGAATGAACTGAATTTAATGCAAATATGTCCACAATAATAACTGATTGTCAGCTGTTAACTTCTGGTAGAAGGTCATCAATATAGTAATTATATTATTGACTCATGGACAGGCATTTGTGTTCTTAAAATAATAAAATGATTCAAAACCTTTGAATTCATGATGCTTTCTAATAAAGTTTATTGTTGTAACCTCAGATGGTTATTGTTATAACCACAGTATACCACAGGTACAGAATATACCATAGTGTGTAAAATACAATAAATAATTGCATACAATACAATAAAACAAAATAAAGTAATAAAAAGAGTATTGGATGCAAACAGATTATTGCCTATGAATAGATTCTGCTTCATAGAAATGCATACTATAAATAGTCCTTGCTTATCATTCATTCAGTAGCTGTTCAAAGTTTCAACTTGCTGAAGAATTTTATAGTCCATTTATGACCCTCACAGAGTCCCTCAATTATGCGATGACTATTATAGTCAATATGCATTATCTTGTGCATAATTCTTACAGATTGGACAGAGAGATTGCAAGAAAACAAGCTGCTTACTTTTCTACACATCAAAATCAATGCAATCGCATCTGCAGCCTGGGAATGGCAGCCTCAGGTATGCTGGGACTGAATGGGCTGATGGTGGTGCAGAGTTTAAGCTGCAGGATGTGTTGTGCCCTCTGTGCCAGTCTGGTCCTGGGTTAGCCACGCGGCCTCACTTACCAGAGCAGCCCTAGAAGAAGCCCAGCTCTTGGAAGTGCCTGCAGTGGTGGCTACTCTTTCCAATTTCTCCACTTTGGAGCAGGAAGAAGCAAGGTATTTTTGTAGGCAATTACTCCTTAGCCTTATCCTTTCCTGCTGCTAGCAGGATTGCTTTGCTCTTGGTGTGCAGAAGAACAAACAGCTTACTCTGTTAAACTTTCATCCTCTCGAACATCTCTACTCTATAGGGGAGGGAAGAAGAGCCAGGCAAAGAAGAGACTGCCTACAGTAATCACTTACTTTTTCTCCCCCCCCTTATAACAGAGATATTAGAAAGAAAGAGACTTCAAGAGAATAAGCTGTTTGCTCTTCTACATATTGAGAGGGAAGTGATTGTATCATCAACAGGAAAGGGTCAGGCAAAGGAGAGAAATTGCTTTTTTTCTCCCCCTCCCCCTTGTACAGCAGAGAGATTGGAGAGAAAGGGATTTCAAGACAGTAAGCTATTTGTATAGAATGCCTGCAGCTCCCAGCCCTAGGCTGTGGGTGCTTACATTGCTTTTGATACGTACAAGATAACATTCAAGCATTTGAGTATTCCAATGGGGGGGGGGACAAAAGCCAAAGATGTGAAACTGAGTAATCTTGCCTCTTTCCAGCTGGAAAGCATAGCTGCAGTCATGTGATTTCCCATATAGCAATGATTTCACTTAATGGCAGCGTCACAATTAGGGTCGTTAAGCAAGGATTACCTATAAAAGTTGTATTAATCTTCAATGAACTGTAAGACTCTTCAACATAGTTCCAGTTATCAATATAATAGCTTAAAATGACAATCAGGAAGAAATTTTTGGGTGTGTTTGCACCTGTTTTCCTTTGCATCACTAAAAATAAATTAGACAGTTTTTCAGTAGCTATACTTTATTATTTAGTGCAAAACAAGAAATGTGTCATTATCAGCTTCAAAACAAGTCAGAATACCATGCCAGCTTCAAATATAAACTGGCATATTTTGAAGCTACTGATAACAATATCTTAGTTTGGTTCAAATAGGAAATTCTGGACAATAACATTTCCTGCAGCAGACCCAGAGGCTCATTCATTATCTTGGTTCAATTGGGGCACCAATTGTCTAAATATGGCTGTTGTTGCTATTGAAAATAAATTAATATGTTTCTCAGGTAAAAGTGTATTTTTGCAAACAGTAGAAATTCAGACATAGATACAAATATGTTCTACATGTGTGTGTGTATGTATTAGACAAAATAGTAATACGAGGCATGAAAAATAACAATACTTTTCATATAACATATTTTGATGTATACATGCTACACTTCAAAACAAATTTTGCCCATGGAGTTTGCTATTAAAATATGTAATCCAAAAATGTATACTAAATAACTTATTTACAGTTATTTACAGATAGTCCTTGACTTACAACCACAATTGAGCCCAAAATTTATGTTGCTAAGTAAGACAATTATTAAGCGAGTTTTGCCCAATTTTATGACCTTTCTTGCCAGAGGTGTTAAGTGAATCACTGCAGTTGTTAAGTTAGTAACGTGGATGCTAAGTGAATCTAGCTTCCCCCTTTGGCTTTGCTTGTCAGAAGTTCGCAAAAGGGGATCACATGATCCCAGGACACTGCAACAATCATAAGTAAGAACCAGTTGCCAAGAGTCCAAATTTTGATCACATGAGCCTGGGGATGTTGTGGTGGTTATTAAATGTGAAGGTCCTTTTTTCAGTGACACTGTAACTTTGAACAGGTTGTATATTGAATGGTTGTAAGTCAAGAACTATCTGCAGTACATAACATATAACCTATAATAATGTTAAAATATAAAAACTAAAAGAGCAGAAATAAAATTAAGCATGTTCATGTGACATAATGAAGAATCAGTTTGATGTAGCTGTTAAGGCTAGAAATGGAGACACTCCAGATTGTAGTCCTGTCCTAGGTACAAAGCCAGTTGGGTGACATTGGGACAGTCCCTCAACCCTAGGAAGCAATCAATGGCAAACCACTTCCAAAAAACCTTCCAAGAAAACTATAATGACTGGTTCAGGCAGTCATCAGAAATCAAAAATGTACTCAAAGGCATGCACGCAGACACACATGCATGTACACACTCCAAGTAGCATAATAGGGTGATATTAAAAACCTTGAGAGAATCAAATACATTTGCCTAATGCTCAAAACAAAACAGATGACAAGTATTCCTTACAGGAAAAGGAACTGCAGAGCTAAAGGATGTACCAGAGAAGAACCATTCATTGGAATTCATGGGGAGAGAAATGGAGGAAATGATAAAAAGTGCATTGTGATATTTTAAAGCAAACCACACAACATACATACTTGGATTCAATATAAGGACACAAGTACAAAGTCTGGGAATTGCAAGATATGAGAACGAGCGCTTCATAATTTTTTGTCAACGTGATTTGTATTGGCTACATATGGAATCACTCTCAACAAATCACCTGTCTATCATTCATCAAGTAACTGTTCAAGCAGGATTATATATAGGAAGAAGTGTTCTTTCAGATACTGTGGCTTAATGCCCAAAATAGAATTTATAATGGAATAGAGCTGGAAGGGATCTTGGAGGTCTTCTAGTCCAACCCCCTGATCAAGGAAGGAGAACCTATACCATCTCAGACAGGTGAATGTCCAGTCTACTCTTAATAATGTCCAGTGATGGAGTGCCCACTATTTCTGGGGATAAGCTGTTGATTGTCCTCACTGTCAGGAAGTTTCTCCCCAATTCCAGATGGTTTCTCTCTTTAATCAGTTTCCAACCATTTCTCGTCCTTCCATCTGGTGCTTTGGTGAACAACCTGACCCGATCTGCCTTGTGGCAGCCCCTCAGATACTGGAACAGTGCTATCATGTCTCCCCTATTTCTTTTCTTTAGACTAGCCAAACCCAAGTCCCGTCTACTTTGTCAAATGCCTTACTGAAGTCTAAATATACTATGTCCGCAGTGGTTTCACTGGTCTACTAATTTTGTCACTTTATCAAAGAATGAAATAAGATTGGTTTGGCATGATCTGTTTTTGACAAACCCATGCTGGCTACTGGTTATAACTTTGTTTGCTTCTAGTTTTTTGCAAGTTTTTTTTATTATCTTTTCCAAGACTTGCCAAGATCTTGATGTTAGACTGATTGGTCTGTAGTTTCCTGGGTCTGTTTTTTTTTTCTTTCTTGAAAATGGGAACCATATCAGCCCTTTTCAAATCATCAGGTACTTCCCTGGTGCTCCAGGATTTTTGAAAGATGTGGTACAATGGTTCTGAGATAACAGCAAGTGCCAAGTTGCTGCCACTCACAGCTTTGAAGTATTCTCTTATTTATATAAGGAAGCACACAAATACTGTAGAATTTGACTTTTTTTATTAATAGGAGAACCCTGAGAATAAGTAATTTTCCCATAACAACTTTTTTTAAGTAAATGTTTTATTTTATTCACCAAGATAGAATAGAATAGAATAGAATAGAATAGAATAGAATAGAATAGAATAGAATAGAATAGAATAGAATAAATACCGTATATGCTGGCGTATTAGGCGACCCGGCGTATAAGACAACCCCCGTCTTTATCGCCGAGCCGCATTCCTAGAACGTCGTTTTATACGCTGGAAACTACCAGTATTTCCGGTGTATAAGACGACTCGGCGTATAAGACGACCCCCGTCTTTGGCACTGAGTTTAGCGCTTCCGGAAGTCGTCTTATATGCCGGCATATATGGTAATTTTATTGTCGCTTTGAATTACACTAATCGGCATACATTAAAATGAAATTTCATTGCATACAGCTCTCAAAGTTAAGCTACAAACACCAAAAAAAAAGAAAAAGAAAAAACAAGAACAAGAACAAAACATAATTAAACAAGACATAAAATGTGCCTAAAAACAATTCATATGCATAAATTTCCCCTAGTTGAATACTGATAAATATATTTCAAGAATAATAGTTTCCCTCCCCTGCGAAACAGGCCCATAGCTTATGAACTTCTACATTTCTGTTTACCCAACCATTTCACCTGGTATCAATCTACTACATATAGGTCAAAGTTAACAGATAAAGCCAATATGAAAGTTAAACTTTAAATCGCTCTGTTAACAATCTATTATTGTATTTAAGTCATAGAATGTCCACAGAGGCTTCTGAACTACCATAAACTACTGCAGTCATTATCTCTGATCTTTCCAGGA